GTCGCGCCGTATCTCGCATGGCCTGGTAGAGGCAGGTACAAAGGATGAAGGGAGGAGCTGTAGTTGTGCTGCTGCGAGGCGACGCTCAATCTGTGAGACCGCAAGGTCAATGTCCATGTCAACGCCCGCAGCTGGCACTGAAATTGCGTGCGAAACAACCGCGCCGTCACTGCGTCGATAGTTGGCTGGGGTCAGGGCTTTGCCTGGAGCAAGCCACGTACCTGGGGGGCCCAAGGGGCCCTCAAAGAAGGTAGCTGGTGCCCATTGCCGAGCATCCCTCATGAATCTCCTAAAGACCTCCCCAGACACGTTTTCCTGTTCCGCACGCGCATCGCCAGTGGTGTCGTCCAAGCCAAGAGCAGCACTAGCGTCCACCAGCGTGATCGCATGCTCCAGAGTAGCCCCAAGGGTCTTGATGAGGTCCGTAAGGGTGGCCCGCCGGTCGGGGATGTCCTGAGGGTCGGCGGGAGTGCGGAGCATGCCCGACGCAAATGCAAACAGACAGGGCTGGCGCTCTCACTATGACGATGAGAGCTTTGGCCGAAGAATGCACCACCTGAAAATCCCTCGGTGCCAGCCTGCATCCCTCTTGATATTCAAAGTCGGTGCGCGCCCACAGGGAGCAGCCGTTATCGCCTGATGGGCTGGCTGGCGTGTTGAGGATGTAGCGTGGACCTATGGTAGCTGCGCCCGAGCACTGCGCGCGCCCCCCCACCGCCCCCGCGAATAAGTACGGTTTGTGAGAGACTTGACCAGCCAATTGCATCATGCGTCCCGGGGCGTCGCATCCCACGATTCGAACCCCTTGTGAGCTCCCAGCGACACCCCCGGGGCCCATGGTGAGCACGTTGGCAGTGGCCACCCAGCCCAGGGTTCCAACAATTTTGGGCTTTCTCTGAGGGCCTCCAAAGCGGTGTTTAGGCAGTATGTCGAGCATGGTCGTTGTCGGCCGTAGGTGGGCGGAAATGGACGCGCCAGCGGTTGGCGGGTATGCCGCCCTCTGTGATGCGTGTAAATATTCAATCCACACCCGTGGTAGCGCGGTCCAATGAGGCCCCTGCAAAATGAGAGAACGCCAGCTGGGCTCAAAGAGCGGCGGCAAGAGCTGCACGGCGTAGAGCCTGGCCAAAGTGTCGACACATTTTCCAAGGGTGTGCCTTTTGACCATGGATGTGTTGACACTCGATGCGCTGTGCACGCGCGCGGAGGATGCGCATGAGACTGCGATGTATGCGCTTAGATCGTGATGAGGCCCCGGCAACCTATTCACCTTGCAACGCCCGTATGACGTCCATGTTGCCACTGCGCATGGCCGGCTGCGCTGCGATAGTGGCTGGGCACTGGGGGCGCCGAGCGATGGCCCAGATGGCTGCTTCTATCCCCGAGCGGAGCGGGGCATGCGAGTCCGCTGCGCCAACTTCTGGGACAGGTCCAGCCATGTAGCCGACCAGCGCACATCCTGCTGCAGAAATAGCTAGCATTCACAAGGCCCAGGCCAGGGCGCAGCGATGATTTTTGTGTTTGAACTTTCCTGAGATCGCGCCCGTAAGAACTTCGTACCTTGTATACTCCTTGGCTGGGTCGTATTCGCGTAGATCCCCAAATCCTCTGGTCGTGGCAGAGTGCCAAAAGGGCGCCGGAGATATTAAGTTCTGGGACAACTCCGGGGCCCAGGGTCGTTCGAGGAGCTCCCTGGCGCATTTGGGGGGAGGGGGGGGAGATCGGGCACGGCCGCGCATGGGACCGACAACAAGGATGTCAGGGGTGCCCGGGGCGGGCTGGGAAGGGGGAATCATGCTGCCGTGGCCCTGGGGCTGGACGAGCCGATCTGGATAAAAAATAACTGGGATATTCTGAATAGCCAAGCGTTGCTGAGCACTGACAGCTCTGGGTGATCAAACGAGTTGGTTAGCGAAAAACTGGGCTGCACGATGTTGGCGGCGCAGGAAAAGAAGCAGCTGCCTCCGGTGGGCCAATGGGGCCTGGGTGACACAGGGGTCGCTCGTCCTGGAAGCCACTGATGTCCTGGGCGGCTGGAGTCTCGGTGCCCGTGCCTGGTACTCCATCCCCCTCGTCTCGTCGCATTTTGGCCCCGATTCCCCTGTCTGCTGTCGCCTTGGGGAAGCCGAGCGCGCTCCAATACGCGTAGATCTCGGTGTATGAGCGGATGGCAGTGTTGCAGGCGTGGCTGGCGATGCATGCTGCGAGGGGCGCTCACCACGAAATGCTGCTTGAAGTCTGGCGCGTCCTGCTGCCGCTTGTTCTTCAACTTGCGTCATGGTCTTGACCTTGGCCTTCTTGGAAAGCATGATTGCAGCGTCGATGGCTGCTGTTTTGATGCTCTCCATATCCTGCGCCCTGATCATCACTATGTCCTGCTGCAGGTGGTTGACTGTCTCCTGGAATTTCTTCATTGGCTCAGTGCATTCTGAGACTGCAATGCTGCCAGCACCGCTGGTGCAGTGCTAGCACTGGCCTCTGCTGGTGGGGCTGCTGTAGCTCCTCCGGGTGGGGCTCCTCCACGCTGTGCTACCTGCTGATGGAGCTGCTGAGGCTGGGGTACTGGCTGCTTGGCTGCGTGTGACGTGCTCTGGTGCCACCCTCGTCTGAGCGGGGCAACATCCTCCTCATCGGTCATGTTGGCGTCACCTGCCTCACCAAATGCTGACGTACCACGCGACTCGCGTTGTTCTTGAGCTCTTTTAGATAAGTCCTCAAACTGTTCGAGAAGCCCTTCTGGTGCTATGAGTTCTTGCTCTGGGTCTTCACATTGAGCGCGTGCCGCCTCGAGCTCGAACTCCAGATCTGTGTATCTGGCGCGAGCATCTGCGAGGCGGCGTCGGCACCTGCTGACACATTGGGTCTGCTTGGAAACTCTGACCTGCGAAGATCTGGAGTGCATCATCTGGTGCAGGAGGACTGAATATTCTTCTATGAGTGCGCTGATCTCGTCAGGGGCGAGATTCAGATCTGAGGCACATCTGATTGGTCACTCCAATCTATCCATCATATCATTTAACGTCCGTCTGAAATGTCCCGACTGCTGTGGGTCAGTTGGTGGTTCCTGCCATCGCCTGCGCGCCATGGCGCCCTCTGGGCTGGCGGGCATGATTGGGAGCTGCTCCTCGATATCTGGCGGCGGCGATGCTGTCGCGACTGGCTGCATGGATGAGGCTCTCCTCGTGCTGGACGGTGCTCTCGTTCGAGAGGGAGTGCGAGGAGATCTCCTGTTCTGCCATCCGTTGCTACTTGAGACTGATGCTGCGGGATCAAAGCCTCTGTTCGGATGGCACCGTCTGCATGTTTTAGCTCCCCATTGGTTCGCGTAAAAACATGCTGGGCATTCCCATGTATTTATGTACCGATACTGCTTTGCCTGGGGAGCTTGATGCTGCTGCTGCTGCTGCCAAGGAGGACGCTGCTGCTGCTGTTGCGATCTGTTCGGTCTGCGAAAACGATCACGGTATTCAAACATGTCTGCTGGCTGCTTCTCGTCTCTGTTGGTACTGTGGTGGCTGTTCAATAAATGCGCTGCTGTAGCCACTCTGATCAGGGTGTGCGCTCGACTGCGCTCTGCTCGCTCCCTTCTGTGCACGGACGGTTCGATACGTCTGACTCTCGCAGGAGCCGTGGCTGAGACTGTTCCCGGTCGGCCCAATGCGCGCGTCTAGGGGCGTGCGCGAAAGGAAGGGCCGGCACGTGTGGCTGTTGTCCCTGCTCGGGCTCACTGCTAGCTGGTAACAGCGCCCGAAGCCTGAGCCGGGACGGCGGCTGGGGAGGGAGGAGAGGAGGGAGGAGGGAGGAGGTAGGAGGGAGGGGGAGGAGGGAGGAGGGAGGAGGGAGGAGGAGGGGGAGGAGGAGGAGGAGGAGGAGGAGGAGGAGTCGAGCGTGCGGAGGGGGAGGCTCCAGGCTCCCGACGGCCGCGCCCCGCGCGGCGCCAGCAGCCCCCGCGCCCGCGCTTACCTGCTCACAGGTAGCGCGCCTGGAGGAGGATGCAAAACATCTCCTCGAACGTGTTCTGGAAGCCGTCTGAAATGTCCCGACTGCTGTGGGTCAGTTGGTGGTTCCTGCCATCGCCTGTGCGCCATGGCGCCCTCTGGGCTGGCGGGCATGATTGGGAGCTGCTCCTCGATATCTGGCGGCGGCGATGATGTCACGACTGGCTGCATGGATGAGGCTCTCCTCGTGCTGGACGGTGCTCTCGTTCGAGAGGGAGTGCGAGGAGATCTCCTGTTCTGCCATCCGTTGCTACTTGAGACTGATGCTGCGGGATCAAAGCCTCTGTTCGGATGGCACCGTCTGCATGTTTTAGCTCCCCATGGGTTCGCGTAAAAACATGCTGGGCATTCCCATGTATTTATGTACCGATACTGCTTTGCCTGGGGAGCTTGATGCTGCTGCTGCTGCTGCCAAGGAGGACGCTGCTGCTGCTGTTGCGATCTGTTCGGTCTGCGAAAACGATCACGGTATTCAAACATGTCTGCTGGCTGCTTCTCGTCTCTGTTGGTACTGTGGTGGCTGTTCAATAAATGCGCTGCTGTAGCCACTCTGATCAGGGTGCGCGCTCGACTGCGCTCTGCTCGCTCCCTTCTGTGCACGGACGGTTCGATACGTCTGACTCTCGCAGGAGCCGTGGCTGAGACTGTTCACGGTCGGCCCAATGCGCGCGTCTAGGGGCGTGCGCGAAAGGAAGGGCCGGCACGTGTGGCTGTTGTCCCTGCTCGGGCTCGCTGCTAGCTGGTAACAGCGCCCGAAGCCTGAGCCGGGACGGCGGCTGGGGAGGGAGGAGAGGAGGGAGGAGGGAGGAGGTAGGAGGGAGGGGGAGGAGGGAGGAGGGAGGAGGGAGGAGGAGGAGGGGGAGGAGGAGGAGGAGGAGGAGGAGGAGGAGGAGGAGGAGGAGGAGGAGGAGGAGGAGTCGAGCGTGCGGAGGGGGAGGCTCCAGGCTCCCGACGGCCGCGCCCCGCGCGGCGCCAGCAGCCCCCGCGCCCGCGCTTACCTGCTCACAGGTAGCGCGCCTGGAGGAGGATGCAAAACATCTCCTCGAACGTGTTCTGGAAGCTGATCGTGATCAGCGGCGGCTCCACGGAGCCGAAGTGTATGACGTCCGTCAGCATCTCCCTCACGATGCCGATCAGGTGCAGGTGGTTGTCCGTCTCCTGGAGCCGCCCCATCACGTCGACGGCGATGGTGGGGACGAAGCACGGGCGGCGGCTTCTTCATGGTCCTCGTGGCCCTCAACGCCGCCCTGGCGGCCGTCAGGGTGGCCTCCGCCGAGACGTGGTTCTCCTGCCTGAGCGCGTGGTACGCGAGGCAGGCGACCGCGATGGACTCCACGCTCTCGTTGGACTGGTCGGTGAGGCCGAGCTTCGCGAACTCGGTGGAGAGGGGGGGCGCGCCGCACGCCCGACCCACTGCCTGCGCCAGCGGCGCGCAGATCAGGTAGTGGCGCATCTTGTCGTGGCCGTTGGCACAGCCGAAGATGCACTGGCGCCTGCCGCTCGGGTAGGCGATGCGGTAGGATGTGAGCCATGAAAAGGACAGCGTCCTCATCCACGCCGTCGCCCACGATGGGGGCAGTCTCTTCATGGCGGCCTGGATGTCGTGCATGATGGAGGGGTTGTGGATGAAGAACTCGCCAGCGTGCCAGGAGGAGGAGGAGGAGGAGGAGGAGGAGGAGGAGGAGGAGGAGGAGGAGGAGGAGGATGAGGAGGGAAGAGGGGGAGGAAGGAGGAGGAGGAGGAGGAGTAGGGGAGGAGGAGGAGAGGAGGAGGAGGAGGAGGAGGTTAAAGGAGGAGGAGGGGAGGAGGAGGAGGGGAGGAGGGGAGGAGAGGAGGAGAGGCGGGGGAGGAGGAGGAGGAGGAGGAGGAGGAGGAAGGAGGAGGAGGAGGAGGAGGAGGAGGAGGAGGAGGGCGGGAGGAGAGGAGGAGGAGGAGGAGGATGAGGAGGATAGGAGGAGGAGGAGGAGGAGGAGAGAGAGGAGGGGGAGAGGAGGAGGAGAAGGAGGAGGAGGAGGAGGAGGAGGAGGTAGGAGGAGGAGGAGGAGGAGGAGGAGGAGGATGCGGAGGAGGAGGAGGAGGAGGAGGAGGAGGAGAGGAGGAGGAGGAGGAGGAGGAGGAGGAGGAGGAGGAGGAGGAGGAGGAGGAGGAGGAGGAGGAGGAGGGGGGGGGGCAGGAGGAGCAGGAGGAGGAGGAGGAGGCGAGCGAGCCCTAAGCAGTCAGAGGCTTGCCCGAAGGAAGGGGAGGGCGGTAGGCTGCGTGCGGGCAGGCGGGCCCGCCCAAGGCAGCTGACAGACAAACAGACAGACTCGCAAAACGCTACGATTGCTCCATCCGCTACTGCAACATCCCGTCTGGAGGCGCTCAAGGCCGTCTGGAGGGGAAGGCAGGACGCGCAAAAAGCAGAAAGAGAGAGAGAGAGAGAGAGACGCACGACGAACGGGGACCACAGAAGAACAAAACACTGCGGTGGGGGCACCGGGTCAGGAATCACGGGATGCGGGAGCCAGGGCCTGGAGGCGGGTGGAACAGCAGCTGGGGCTTCGCCTTGGATACCACCACTGTCCTCATCAGATGGAATCATCCAGGGTCTGAGGCCTCCTGGGCCCACTCCTGAACAGATGCCTCCGCCGTAGGTCATCTGACTTCGCCGCAGCGCTCCCCGCGGTGCGCGGTTCACTTCGCGCCCTCAAGCCCTTGCGCCGCCCCCCCTTGGAGAAGGGCAAACCGCTTCGGCCCCGACCGCGACGCGCGGAGCGCGGTTGTCGTCGCGCCCCTGATCCAGATGGGGACAGATCGGGAATCTCTGAGGGCTGGCGTGTCTGGAGGATGCATCGGGCGCCGCGGCGCTCTGGCGAGCGATTCATATTCATCACCATCATCATCATCATCATCATCATCATCATCATCATCATCATCATCATCATCATCATCATCATCATCATCATCATCATCATCATCATCTTCTTCATCATCATCATCATCATCATCAGCAGCATCAGCATCATCATCAACAACATGCTAGACCTGCCTGACCCCCTCCCCTCCCCCCATATTCAAGGCCGGCAATGAGCGAAACGCAGCACAGCACGCACGCTGGCGGAGAAAAAAACAGCGGGCGCCCCGGAGTTCGCGCGGCGCACCCAAAGGGTGACTGCTCCCGTGCGGGGAGGAGGGGGGATTAGCTGAGGTGCGCTCGCGCCATGCAGCCATCGTGCTACCATAGCGAAAGCTGCACGAGAAACGAACAACGACTGGGCTCTTCCGGCCACGGCCGGCCTCGGCCACGAAGAGAGGGCCTCCGAGCTGGACCTACGGAGCGGCCCGAAAACCAGGGCCCTCCCGGAGCCCAACGTGGTCCTGATTTCAGGATGCTGACCGCATCTGACATCCCGCCCCTCCCGCAAACCCCTTCCCACTGCGCTGGATTGTGCTGTATCCGCAAGCCTGGGCGTCCTGTGGGGACCTTGATCCCCTAAAGTGGCCCCGTCGTGCGACGAGAAGGCGCAGGCAGCGGGAGGCAGAATAGAAGGGCAAGGGGGGGACAGGGTGAGCAGGGTGGCGGAGGAGGAAGTAGATGCGCATGAGGAGCAAGAGGGAGGTGGGAAGGAGAGAGGAGGGAGCAGGGGAAGTGAGGTAGGGCATGTACGCCCAAGCTTGAGGGAAAGAGAGGAGGCGGATGGGGAGGAGTGGGTGGTCGGATACGCCCGAGTTGGTGGTGAAGGAGATGTAGGAGGAGGAGGAGGAGGAGGAGGAGGAGGAGGAGTATGAAGATGAGGAGGCGGAGGAGGCGGAGGAAAAAGAGGAACGACGACGACGCCCTCCGACCTCGGTCCTCGAGAGACGACGAAGACGACGACGACGACGACGACTCAGAGGAGGGAAAGATGAAGATCGACTTCGGATTCGGATGAGGATAAACCAGAGACCTCTGATCGGGCGCCGCAGCCAGTGCCAGAGCGCTCTGGAACGCTCTAAGAGCGTTCTGAAACACTCGGGAACGACTCATCCCCATTCTGGGCCTGCCTGAACGACGACGATCCAGCAAAAATCGACCCCTGAACCTGTCCTCGGGTGCGTCCTGGCCGGAATCCCGAGGCGGATGCAGCCGTGGCGATGAGGAGGCATTCCGGGGCCTGGAAAAAACGCCCAGAAGCCCTAATCGAAACTCGACGACGTCGACAACGACGACGACCGCCAACGAAAATCGGCTCAGAATCGACTCCGCCCCAGGGTGTGTCCTGGCCAGCTTTTCATCGCCCCGAAAGGGGCCCCGTAGGGGGCGAACATTATGACAAACTTGTGGAGGGGGCGGGTTGTACATCAGGAACAACTGAACGAAAGTTAGAACCTGGGGGAAACGTGAACGTGGAGAGAAGGAGGAGGAGGTCGAAAAACAGGCCGCAGAAGTCGAACTTGTGGGTCCCCAGACAAACGTGTGGGGCCCCGCAGGGGGCGAACCCGCGACCCCAGAGCTCCCAGCTCCTTCCCCAGGAGGAGGAGGAGGAGGAGGAGGAGGAGGAGGAGGAGGAGGAGGAGGAGGAGGAGGACGAGGAGGAGGAGGAGGAGGAGGAGGAGGAGCTCCCAGCTCCTTCCCCAGGGGTAACTTTTGCGTCCCGGGTCGTGCCTCGATGGTCCCGCGGGGCCCGACAGCGGGCCCCGGAGAGGCCGAGGCAGAGGAAAAAGACGCCGGGATCGAAAGATAATCGTAGACGACGACGACGACGACGACGACGACGACGACGACGACGACGACGACGACGACGACGACGACGACGACGACGACGACGACGACGACGAACGACGACGGTTTCTGGAGACCGCCGAGAGCACCCCGATGCCTCTGGAGGTCCTCGAAAGGCCGGAGACCGCATAGAGACCTCGATCGTCGAAGGGCCGCCGCCGCCGACGACGACGACGACGGCGACGATTTCATCGACCTTCTCAACGGCGTGAGCCTCCTCGACCTCCTCGACCTCTCCTCTGTTTGGATCGCGCCCCGCGATGCGCGACGCGCGGTTACCTTCGCGCCCTCGCGCTGCGGCCCTGGAGAAGAACGCCTCTCCAGCTCAAGCTGCGATGCGCGAAGCGCGATTATCTTCACGCCCCTGGGGAGGGGACCTGGTCGATCCCTCCTCGGCGGCGTGGACCTCCTCGACCTCCACCTCGACCTCCTCGACCTCCTTGACGTTCTCCTCCTCCTCCTCCTCCTCCTCCTCCTCCTCCTCCTCCTCCTCCTCCTCCTCCTCCTCCACGCGGGCCTTCGGAGGCCATTTCTTCGACCTCCTGGACCTCTCCTCGATCCCTCCTCGGCGGCGTAGGCCCGAGGCGGCCGCGGCGGCGGCGTGGCGCGCGCGCGCGCGCCCGCGGGCCTGGCGGTGGGCTCCTCGTCGGCCGCCGTGGCCGCGGGCGTCGGCGTGGGCGCGGCTTCGACGTCGTAGCCGAGGGAGTCGGCGAGCAGGCCTTTCTCCTTCCGAGGGAGCAGAAGAACGGATGAGAGCTGCACGGACATAACTGGGCACTCCCGAGGGCTCGCGCAGACTGCCTGGACCGTCGCTGGGCCTCCAGGTGGCGCCTGCAGCGACGTCCATGAAAAGCTTCGTGCGACAGCGAAGGGGGGCCCGGTGCCGACCCCGGAAACCCGCGCGGGCCTCAGAAAGTTTGTGCTAATTCCGAGTGCGTCGGCGAGCAGGCCCTCTTCTTCAGAAGAGGCGAGGAGGGAGGGTCCGTAGGGCCGGCGTACATGTTCATGGTGCCGCGGACGCTTGACACTTAGCAGACATGCGCTAGAGAAGAAGCATCATGACAAGCATTTTGCATTATTATCATGAAAGAACCGAACAGCGGCAGTTGGCGGCGCGCACAAAAGGGCATGGCGGAGGGGGAGGCTTCTTGGAAGGAAACTGCTTCTTAGAAGGCGCCGGCCCTACATCTATCGACAAGGCCCGCGCCTTCCAAGAAGCAGGGGTGCCTCTAAGAAGCCTTCCCATCTCCTCCTACCCACTTCTGCGCGTGGCTGAGGCTCAGGCAAGCGCTGCCGCGATTTTCGGGAACGGCAGGCTCCTGACGGCATCCCAAACTCCGCGTGGCTCAACCCTGAGCAGATACCACGGCTCTCCGACAGCGCAGGTCGTTCCATGTAGGCCGACTCCAGGACACTGGCGGCGTTCAACCTTCAAGGGCGACGAGGCCGACGACAATGACGACGACGACGACGACGACGACGACGACGACGACGACGACGACGACGACGACGACGACGACGACGACAGGACACTGGCGGCGTTCAACCTTGAACACGCCCGCGCTGGGCTTCGCCGCCGCGTCGACGCGGGGCGAGCCGCCGTTTGCCAACTCATGCATCTGCACCGATCCCTGCCGGGCTCCTCCTGGGCCCTGGATCGATGCAGTAAGCCCTCCTGGCCTCCTGGCTGGGCCAGGAAGGCGTGTAAGCCCGCCCTCGGCCCGGGACGGGCGTGGCCAGGGTCGGCGCAGGTGCTTTGTTGGCGCCCTCTGATACGGGCAGACCAGGGTGAAGAGGCCCTGGGACACACAAATAAATACACACAAATAAAAACATTCCCCATATTTTCCTATATTTTCTGAGTTTTT